AGAGCAGATGCTTCTTCTGTCACTCTGGAAAGGGCTTTGTGGAGAGAGACATCCTCTTCTTCTAATTTTTTTTAAAGTTATGGTTGCACATATACAACCATACATAAATATATTATTAAGTCATTAAATTACACTTAAAATGTGTGAGTGGTGAGGACTGTCTGGTTAAGTCAGTTGGTTAGAGTACAGCCTTGTAACACCAAGGGCACAGGTTTGGATCCCCATACCAGCCAGCCACAAAAAAAATAAATTAATAAAAAAGCAGCTTTTAATGTGTGGATTATACAGTATGCCAACTATACCTCTATAAAGCTGTTTAAAAAAAGAAACATCAGTTGGTTAGAGTACAGCCTGGTAACACCAAGGTCAAGGGTCTGGATCCCGATACTGGCTAGCCACCGAAAAAAGAGAGAGAAATGGCAGATATAATTTAAGGAGATAACTGAGATCACCTGGAGAAGGGAGCTTAAGAGAACAGGGGTCAGAGAAAGAGGGCCAGCCATCTGAAATAAGAGGGGAATCTGAACGCCAAGTAGGAGAGAGCTTCAAAATGAGGAGTAGTTGGGGCCGGCCCGTGGCTCACTCGGCAGAGTGCGGTGCTGATAACACCAAGGCCATGGGTNAAAAATGAGGAGTAGTCAGTCAGCCATATCAACTCTACAGAGAAATGGAGCCAGCACCAAGGCTGGGGCGTCCTTGGACGTGGCAAGGACCCTTGGGGGCTTTACTGATAAGAGAGTCAGTGGCACTATTAGGGGCTGAGGATGGAAGCAACACATATGACAATCTTGTGTCTGCTCTGTTTCTAGAGAAGCAGATGTTAGAGGCTNAAGCAACACATATGACAATCTTGTGTCTGCTCTGTTTCTAGAGAAGCAGATGTTAGAGGCTTCAGCAGAGAGGGACTCAGAGAGAGCTTGGCTGGACAGGGAAAGGCAGGCTTGCAGGTAGACATTGCATAAAATTAAGCCTGTTACTCATCTCTTTGGTACCTGATGTCATTGTTATATGTTCTAGAAACCTCTATCAGAAATGGTGGTCTTGGGCTGGCCCGGTGGCACACTGTAGCAGTGCGCCACTTGGGAGCGCAGCGGCGCTCCCGCNCTGTCTTTTGTTTCAAACCTTGAACCCGCACTGCTTCATACAGTGCCTAGTCCATGTTGGCTCTCAGCACAGCCAGCAACAGCAAAACCCGAAACAGGAAAGCGGCCACCAGGTACCACATACTCAAGGGTAGCCACATTCCCTCCCCTTCCCAAGGGGCTAATGGCTCCTTTACCTGCTTGGAATCCTGATGGCTATGCCAATTGTTAGATTAGGGCTCACACCTTTCAAACCCATTGTGCCAGGCTGGGTCACCAGATCNGGCTATTCTGTAACCACTGCCACAGAGACAGGTGTGTGGTAATGGAGACTAACTTTTCCACCTTTTCACCGGGTGAAAACATACTTAGTTTTGCAGGGGCACCCTTCCTTGGGTCATCTGCCCATCTGCATGTGGCACTCTTCTCAGGTGTATATGGCACCCAGCAGGCCATCCGCTTTCTCTTGTTTAAGTGGTACCCGGTGGGCCATCTGTTTGTTGGACAAATGAGACATGCATTTACTACATAGTCCTCAGAGCACATCGCAACATCCACCCCTAGGTCCCATAGGCTGCTCATGCTTCACTTTCTGATGAACGACAGGTCATCCCACAAGACGCACAGTCTCTCCCGTCACCATCAGGTTTGTCATTGTCCCCAGTGTCAGAAGCAGGGATGACCTGTGGCCTATACTTCAGCCTTCAGCACATGCACTAGTGTTTCCAACCTGTCT